TCAACATTTATTTTTCTGGAGATTTTTGGTCGTTAGCCATTTTTATGGGAGTCAGCAGGTGGCTCATTGTGGGTTTGATTTGTAACTGATGGCCAATGATGCTGAGCATCTTTTTTTTAAATCATTTTATTGGAGGCTCGTACAATTCTTATCACACTCCATACATCCATCCATTGTGTCAAGCACATTTGTACATGTGTTGCCATCATCTCTCTCAAAACATTTGCTTTCTACTTGAGCCCTTGATTAAGCTCCTCATTTTTCCCTTCCCTCCCCGATCTCCTCTCTCTCATGAACCCTCGATAATTTATAAATTATTATTTTGTCATATCTTACACTGTCCGATGTCTCCCTTCACCCACTCCTCTGTTGTCCATCCCCCAGGGAGGAGGTTGTGGATCCTTGTCATTGATTCCCCTTTTCATGTGCTTGGTGACTCTTGGACTGTCTTCTTTGGAGAACTGTCAATTCAAGTCCTTTGCACATTTTATAATTAGGCTATTTATCTTTTTGTTGTTAAGTTGTTGAAATTTCATCTACATTTTTACTATAGATTCTTTTTTATTATTATTAAATACTTTTATTGGGGACTCTTACATCTCTTAACAATCCATGTATTCATCCGTTGTGTCAAGCACATTTGTACATATGTTGCCATCGTCATTTTCAAAGCACTTTCTACTTGAGCCCTTGATATCAGCTCATTTCCCCCCTCCCTCCCTGGCCCTCCCTCCCTCATGCACCCTTGATAAATTACAGATTTTTATCAGATGTATGGTTTCTGAAGAGAACCTCCCAGCTGGTAGCTTGCCTTTTCCCTCTTATTAAAGTCTTCTGAGGAACAAACCTTTCTACTTTCTAGGAGTGCCCATTTATTTGTATTTTGCTGTTGGTCTTTTTTGTTACATGCTCCGTTGTTGAAACCTAGCCCTCTGACAGTGTTGCCCTTTTGCGTGTTCTTCTAAGAACGTTGCTGTTTGAATTTGCACATGTAGGTCCTTAATCCACTTTTGTTTTATATATGGTGGGAGGCATAGATCCTGGTTCATTTTCTGCATGTAGAAGCTCCGTTTTCCCAGGTGATGGAAGAGACTCTTGGCTCCCCATTCAGTGGACTTAGCAACCTTGTCGAGTGTCACTTGACCATAAATGGGTGGGTTTGCGTTACGGTTTGGTTTCAGTATTTGAGTTTTCTTTTTATAAGGGTAGCTTATTGCTAATAAAATGACCACTTGGTGTCTGTCTGCAGGATGCTGAAGAAGATGATGAAAGAGCACACCAAATGATTTCACTGAGGAAGCTCTGTCTGCCAATGTTGTGTTTTCTTCTTCATACCATACTGCACAATACTGGTCAGTATCAGGAATGTCTTCAGTTAGCTGACATGGTGTCTTCTGAGCGTCACAAGTTGTATCTGGTATGTTGTAGACCATTTGCTCTTTTAAAGTTCGGATAAACTGTGTAAAATTATTTAATTTTGTGAGATATGTTTACGTTTTGTAGTTGTCCCTAGCATAAAATAATGATCTAATTTGTAATGCTTGTGTTTCTTTTCCAAAATGTCTGTGTTTTCCTGTACAACAAGACTGGTTCTGGGAAACAACTTGAAGTTCCTAAATCACATTGGTTTTCTAGCCGTGACTGACATAAATCTTTAAAAGAAACTTAGCTAATCTGATCTATTAATCGACTAATTACATGGTCTTTGTTCTTTTTCTTAATCAGGTATTTTCAAAGGAGGAACTAAGGAAATTGCTACAGAAGCTAAGGGAGTCCTCTCTAATGCTTCTAGACCAGGGACATGACCCATTAGGATATGAAATTCAGCCATAATTCATTCATTTTTTGTAATCCTACTAATCTACATGATAAATGGTGTTCCTTGTAAAGTATACATATTTGTAATTACTGGGGAATTATCTTCTGTGTTATCATGGGGGAAATGTTTGTAAACGCTCAAGATTGCATTTTGTACCTTTTAGAATATTATAGTGACACTGAAGTTTTAATGTATATGTCAGTATTTTCCTGTTTATTAATAAAATTATGAAAAATTATAATGGCCTGTTCTTATAAGTTCCAAGATTGGCTGTTGTGTAATGAATGCAGATATGAGATTTCGTATTGTCTTCATTTTTTCTTTAAAAAGAAGGTGGAAATAAGATTATTTTTTACCCGGGCATGAAAATTTTTCATAAAATTTAATATTTTTAAATTACAATTAAAATCAATATGATGTTGTATATTTTTTGTTTTAGATCATATTAAACTATTATTTCTTTAGTTTGAGGACATATCTAGTTTAGTCACCAAACCTGTTATTAAAATGAATTAGGCATGTAATTACCGTATCTGTCATAATAAGTCCTGAGTAAATCTCAGAATTTAATCTCAAGTCAGTATGGTTTAATCCAGAACTTCTAATGAGAAAAACAATGAATATATTAACAGTACCATTAACAAATAGAAGTAACCTGAGTAAGAAGAAATTATTTCAGAGGAAATAGTGTTTGAGCTGGAATTTGAGGAATAAATCAAATTTACAACGGCAAAGATATGGGACAAAAGTGGGGCAGGGGGCTACAAATAGAAATCCGTGTGAGCAAAGCAGGTCGCACTGTCTTCGGGTCAGTGCCGCCAACTCACTGTGACCCAAGAGGACGGGAAAACTGCCCCTGTAAGTTCCGGAGACTAACTTTTATTTATTTATTTTTGAGTTGAGACATTTAATTTTTAACTTCAATACATGAGCCTTAGTCTTAATGGGAGTAGAAAGCCGTTCCTGCAGAACGGCTGGTAGGTTCAAGCTGCTGTCCTATGGTTAGCAGCCCCGTGCATAATCACTGAGCCAGCAGGGCACCTTAAAACATGCTTATGAATCAGCAAATATTCCAAATACACTGGCACTGTCAGGTTTGCAGTGAGGAAGTAACTCAGAGAGAAAATATGACTGATAGAAAACATGGCCTGGTTTTGTTACTCCACAACTGGCCAAACATCTAACTTTGGGAATTGGTTAATATTTACAGGCATCACTCCTAGAGATAGCCAGCTCAGACAACTTGGGGGGGTCGTAGACCTTGTGTTTTAGAATATTCTATAACATCCTAGGTGGTTCTAGCTAGCTAAGTTTGGGACATTCTGGCCCCAATCAGGGATGGATTTTAGCACTTCTAAAGGAAGCAATAATTGATCACAGCATTGTCCTACCAAAAAAAAAAAAAAAAGCTCAAACTGGTTAATGGACTTAAGTATAAAACATAAATAGAGAACTTTGGAGGGGGGGAGAAATATAAGAATTCTCAAAAAATTAATTTCTGTAATAGCTTGTGAGAACCTCTGTGGACCTGCCCATCAGAGAAATAGCAAGACTGAAAATTATGAAAACAAGCAGTCATTTAATGCCTGAAAGTTATCAGAAGACACATTGCATCTTGAAGCCCTGGTAGTGTCCTGGTTGCATGTTGGGCTGCTAACTACATCATGGGCACTTTGTAACCAATAGCTGCTCCTCCAGCGGAAGATGAGGCTTTCTACTCCTGTAAAGAGCTGTAGCCTCAGAAGCCCCCAAAGGCAGTTCTCCCCTGTCCTGTAGGTTGCTGTGGGTTGGTATTGACTCAATGGCAGTGACGAACTATGTCTTGGTGAGAACTGAGATTCTGTGGCACTTGGGCCAGAACCTGCTTCCTCCCAACTAGTCTCATAACTCTATGAAATGAAAGCTCCCAATCCACTCTGGCTGGCTCCCACTAAGATGATTGAGTTCTCCCAGTTCTCAGACCCCACAAACCCCATCCGCAGTTCCATTTTGCAGAAGTTCACACAGAGGTGTGCACCTGAGCGATCAGGGGAGCCCCGTACAGTAACCGCACTCCACAAGGAAGCAACTGCCTGTGCCATCCTCAGCATTGTGGTTTGAGCCCATTATTGTAGCAATGTGTCAACCCATTGTGTCCAGGGCTGTCCTCTCTGGCTGGCCCTCCACTTTACCAAGCGCGAAGCCTCATTCCAGGACCTGATCTCTCCTGACAATGTGTCTAAAATATGTGAGACCAAGTCTCACCACCCTTTTAAGGCTCATTCTGGTTGTACTTGTCCCAAGACACATGTGTTTGTTCTGGCAGTCCATGTACTTTGAATATTCTTCCCCAAGACCATAATTCAAATGCATGAATTCTACTTTATCAGTCTGCTTTATCACTACTCAACTTTCACATGCCTATGAGGCGACTGAAAAAACCAAGGCTTGGGTCAGAGTGGCATCTTTTCAACATTTGAGAGAGGCCTTCTGCAGTCGATTTTCCCAATACAACATGTCATTTGCTGCTTCCATGGGTATTGATTGTGGATTTAAGCAAAATGAACTCCTTGACATCTTTTCTGTGTTTAGCATGATGCTGCCTATTGGCCCAGTTATTAGGATTTTTTTTATCTTTACATTTGAATTGCAAGCCATATTGAAAGCTGTTGACTTTGATTTTCATCAGCAAGTACTTCAAGTCCTCACTTTTAGCAAGCAACGCTTTGTCATCTTCACAATGCAGGTTAATAAGCCTTCCAATCCTGGTGCTGCGGGCTTCAGCCAGGGTAGAATTGCCCTGTGGGTTCCCAAGCAGAAGGCTTCCATCTTTCTCCTGTGGAACTGCTGGTGGATTTGAACTTCATAATCCATTAGCCACCAGGCTCCTAGTAGTTGGCACTGCAGGAGAGGCAAGTCCAGACCACAGACTACCCATCCTACCCTGCTTGTAGAGGTCGCACGCTGAGAGAAGTGGGCCACTGTCCCGCCCCCAGCTCAAAAAACGACAACAAAAAACCCACTGCCATCGAGTCAATGCTAACTCAGCATAGTGACCCTGTGTGGGTTTCCAAGACTATAACTATTGCTGGGAGTCGAGAGCCCAGTCTTTCTCCCCCGGAGCTGCTGTTGGTTTTGAACCGATGGTGGATCCACAGGGCCTCTCTCCCCAGCTCCAAAGCTGTAAAGATCTCGACATAGGTTTTTGACTGTTAACAGCAAAGTCAGTAGTTCAAGCCCACCAGTTGCACGGGAGAACTATGAGGTTTCCTGCTAGTATAATGATTTACAGGCTATGAAACCCCTAGGGGCAGTTACGCTGTCCTATAATGTTCCTCTGAGTTGGTTTCAACTCAATGGTAGTGAGGTTTTTTGAATCTGTATTCAAAGTCTGAATACATTCCACAAGTCTGAAATAGAAGCTAGCTATCCAGGTACATGAAACGTCACAAAGGCTGTACAAACCCAAGAGGTTGGCCCAAGAACAGCCAGTCACCGGCGGCGTTAGTGTTAGACAAGTGGTTCCCAGTACTGCCCTCTTCCTCCCCATCGCCCTTGCCCGGACCCCAGTGCGCCTGCGCACGGGCGAGGCGGTACTTGGACCGCTGCGGGGCGGAAGCGCTGCCGCCCCGAGTCACGTGACGGGGAGGGGCGGGGCGAGTGGAACTAGCGGCTTCGTGTTGGCGGGCTCGTGGCGGCGGCGGAGCGGGTCTGTGCTGCTGAAACGCCTGCTGGCTGGAGACCCGATGGGTGCTTGCCTCTCTCAGGCGGAGAGGTGAGGCGGGCGGCTGTGCGCAGGCAGCGGCGAAGGAGGAAGAGAAGGGCAGCCGGAGAGAGATCGGGCGCCCCCTCGGAGGCTAAGCACCCCGGCTTCTCAGGGGTCGCCCTTCGGCCGCTGGCCGCGACCATGGCCTCGCTGGTGGACGGCGTGAGGGGCCACGGCCGTATAGCCGCGGGGCTCCTGCTCAACCTGCTGGTGTCCATCTGCATCGTGTTCCTCAACAAATGGATCTACGTGCACCACGGCTTCCCCAATATGAGCCTGACTCTGGTGCATTTCGTGGTCACCTGGCTGGGCTTGTTCATCTGCCAGAAGCTGGACATCTTTGCGCCTAAAAGTCTGCCGCCCACCAAGCTCCTCCTCCTGGCGCTCAGCTTCTGTGGCTTCGTGGTCTTCACCAACCTCTCTCTGCAGAACAACACCATCGGCACCTATCAGCTGGCCAAGGCAATGACCACGCCGGTGATCATCGCCATCCAGACGTTCTGCTACCAGAAAACCTTCTCCACCAGGATACAGCTCACGCTGGTGAGTTGCCTCCGCTCCGCGAGGCACGCCTGCAACAGCCTATCCCCGGGAAATTGGAATGCATGTGGTTAACCTTCGCCCGTGCTCCTTCCCTGAGCCAAGACACCCTGGAAGAAGTCGTTCTGTGAGCACGTGAACTTGGGCTTATTTGAGGGAGGTGGGCAGCACAGCACACTGAGGTTCTATTGGCCCTTAGCGCAGAAGGCTGTGTTAATGTGGGTGGGGTTTAATAGCTGCTGGTGGATGGGAATCTGTAGAGGCAGTGTGTAATCGGTGGGAAAAGAAAACAGTATTGAGTGACGCAATACAATGTATCAAAGCTCACGAAACCCCAAACTGAAAACAGCTTCCCTCTTCTGGGGAGCCAAACCACGTGTGAGAGAGACTTCCAAGGTTAGCACACAAAAGTCAATCACAGGATAGATGTCTGGTGACAATATTGCGGGGGGTTCTAAATCTTTAAATAAAAGGTGGGCTAAAACCTCTAGTGCTTAACTCATTTCCTCATGTTTTTATATGCCTAGTTACATGCTTAAATGCTGTTTAAATCAGTTTTAAGATCTGCTTATTTACATGTGCACACATGGATAGGCATTGATTGCAAAGTGCAATGCCTCCTTTATTGTAGCCCAGATTTAAAGTAGAATTAAATATGAACATATATATATATATACATACATACATATATATAATGTTACTACTTTACACTTTGAAAAAATAGGATTAGCCATCGCTTATTCCAAAACAGAAACAGGAAAACGTGTATAGAAGACACATGGTTTTCCAATGATGTCTTTATAAAAGCCTTAGAACGCACTGTGGACGGAGTACTGTTTATCTCGTGTGAATTTAATCTGAACGATATTTACCTCTTTTTCTTTACAGATTCCTATAACTTTAGGTGTTGTCCTAAATTCTTATTACGATGTGAAGTTTAATTTCCTTGGAATGGTGTTTGCTGCTCTTGGTGTTTTAGTTACATCCCTTTATCAAGTGGTTGGTAATTTTTTTTTCTTATTTGCTTTTTAGCAGATTTCATATATGTTGACGCTGTTTCCCAAGGTTTAGAAAATACAGTATAGAGACAATAGACTGTTGGGAAGAAAGCATAATTGCATAAATTGTCTGACTCAAGGTGAAGAGAAGAAAGCAGACAGCGAAACTTGGGTGTATGATGCTCATCAAATACGTGCCTGTTTGTAAGTGAATAGTACCCAGGCTTAACATTCTGGGTTTGGGGTGAAGCTGTATTATTTTCTGGGAAATCTTTACAAAGAGTAGTGGCCTTTTTACTTTAAGGACTGCATTTGCCAAATATAGTAATCATTTATTCCTAATTGATTGTGAAAGAGTCTACTTTCAAGCATGTGAATCAGGAAGAACAATTTCAGGTCTATAGATCTTTACCTTGAGAAAAAAAAATGTTGCTGCTATATGACTTGTATATTGGCTTCTAATAATTTTCCTATATGAGTAGAGTACTTGATAGCAATTAATATTTCATTTCCTGTTCAAGCATAGCGCCTGTGCCTTATCTGTAGTAGGCATTCATTTAAAATGTAATGTGTTCACTTTCCTTATTATAATCAATAAGTGCAAATTTGGTTTCTTATATTAAAAAGGAAAAGGTAACTTGGTATGAGGTATAGTGAAACCGTTTTCTCTCCATACTGAAACCTTTGGGCTGGAAACTGGGCTGTGCCTACATGGGGAATCAAGCCAAAATCCATGTTATAACTGATCTCAACCAACTCCTCTGGTTGGGTTCTTGTTATGGTGTTAAGGTTCAATAAGACTGGCACCTTAAACTTTTTGGTATCGATCCTCTCAGAAGCATCATCTCAAAAATGACTGGTTGAACGTATGTTCTTCGTGGCGTAGAACCAGTTCAAATAAAATAAGAGATCCAGTTAGGATGTCAGGAGCTCCTACTCTGTGTGACACTTGGCTCTATGATCAATTCTGCCTTTTACTCCAAGCACAGGCCAGAAGTTGCTCAGTTTTGTATTTGAGCAAAAAATTGTCTTGATTACCGAATGCTGATACAACAGAAATGCCGCAGGCAGGTGGCTTTAATAAAACAGAATTATTTTTTCACAGTCTAGGAGGCTAGAAGTCCAAATCCAGGGTGCTGGCTTTCGGGTAGGACCCCTGGTGACCTAGTGGTTGTGCGTTGTCCTGCTAACTCCAAGGTCAGCAGTTCGAAACCACCAGCAGCTCCGACAGGAAAGACAGGACTTTCTACTCCTGTAGAGTTAAGTTTCAGAAACTCACAAGGTCAGCTCGACCCTGTAAGGTGGCTGTGAGTCGGAATCGACTTGATTTGACAGTGAGTTTGGCTCTGGAGAAAAGCTGTCTTTCTCTGGGATTTCAGGAAGGTCATTGTCTTCTCAGCTTCTGTTGCTCCGTTCCTTGGTGATCTCCATGCGGTATGGCATGTGTCGTCCACTCTCTGCTTTTTTAATCTTTGCTTCCTTAATCTGCTCTTTTAAATTTTTAAAGAGTTTCACTTAAAAACCTGCTCTGCACTTACACTGCCTCTTTAACATAACCAAAAACACCCTATTCTGAAATGTCACTATAATTACATGTCTTACCCCCCCCCAAAACTCAAGTTCATTCCAACGTACAGCAACCCTGTGGGACAGACGAGACCGTCCAGAGGATTTCCAAAGCTCTACTCTTTACTCAGGGGACCTGGGTGGCACAGTGGTTTAGCACTCAGCAATCACCAATACTGGATGTCCGGTTCAGACCCCCAGCTGCTCCAAAGGTGTAGCTGTGTGCAACCTTGGAAAGCCTGTGGGGCCGTTCTACCCTGTCCCATAGGGCTGCTCTGAGGCAGTCAGTTCCATAGCAATAAGTTGGTTGGTTTTTGTAAATCTTCACGGAAATACACTGCCACATCTTTCTCCTGCAGAGTGAGTGGTGAGTTCAAGTCGCTGCCCCTGTGGAAAGCAGCCTGCCGAGTGCTTAACCGCTGGTCTGCCTGGGCTCCTCGACATGGACCGGGGGTTAGAGATTGACAGCACTTATTTGGGAGGGAAGACAAGTCAATCCATGACAAGTACATTTCAGTGGGTTTAAATTTGGTTAGTAGCTACTGTAAATATTAATGACATTTGCTTTTTATTTATTAAGGGCCAAATGCATTTCTTGTTGTTTACTAGGGTTAAATCTTTCTTAAATATAGTAAGAAATTTACTTTGTTGAAGAGTAGAAGTTCTTACACTTCTTATAAACTAGCTCACGGCCATCTAGTCGATTCTGAATCATATGACCTTGTAGGGCAGGTAGAACTGATCATTACTAAGACTGTAACTCCTTACAGGAGCGGAAAATCCCACCATTTTCCTGTATACATAATCTTAAATCTTAGTACATACTATCCACATCAATATGATACTTTTCCCCCCGAACTTTTATTGTGGGCTCTTACAGCTTTTATCATAATCCATACATTCATCCAGTGTGTCAAGCACATTTGCACATATGCCGCCATCATCATTTTCAAAGCATTCTCTTCCCACTTGAGCCCCTGATATCAGCTCCCCGTTTCTTCCCCCTCCCTTCCCCACCTGCCCTCCCTTACAAACCCTTGATAAGTTATAGATTATTATTTTCATATCTTACATCGTCCTCTGTCGCCCCACACCCACTTTTCTGTTATTCGTCCCCCTGGGAGGGGGTTCTAGATTGATCCTTGTGATTGATTCCCCTTTTCTCCCCCCCACCCTCCCCAAATCCTCCTGGTATCTCTACTCATTGTTGACCCTGAGGGGCTTATCTATCCTGGATTCCCTGTGTTGTGAGCTCTTATCTGTAGCAGTGTGCATGCTCTGGTCTGATACAATTTGTAAGGTAGAATTGAGGGGGAAGGAAGCACCAAAGAAATAGAGGAAAGATGTGTGTTTCATCGGTGCTATTTTGCACCCTGACTGGCTCATCTCTTCCCTGTGACCCCTCTGTGAAGGGATGTCCATTTGTCTACAGATGGGCATTGGGTCTCCACTCCATGCCGCCCCACCCCTGCACCCCATTCACATTGGGTATGATTTTGTTCTGGGTCTTATATACCTGATCCCATTGACACCTCGTGATCACAAAGGCTGGTGTGCTTCTTCCATGTTGGCTTTGTTGCTTCTGAGCTAGATGACCTCTTGTTTATCTTCAAGCCTTTAAGATCCCAGACGTTATATCTTTTGATAGCCAAGCACCATCAGCTTTCTTCACCACATTTGATTATGCACCCATTTTGTCTTCAGCGATCCTGTTGGGAAGGTAAGCATCACAGAATGCCAGATTGTTAGATCAAAGTGTTCTTGTGTTGAGGGAGTACTTGAGTCGAGGCCTAATGTCCATCTGCAACCTTAATTCTTAATATATAAATATTGATATGATATTTTCTGTTCAAACAAGTCTCAAATTGCTGTAGGTTAGAATTAAGGATTCTGTTTCCTCAGGGTAGGTATTTGAATAAGGTTGGCCAATGAGTATAGACCAGTTCATGGACACTATCTCTATTAACAGTAAATAGTAAAGTACTACCGTAGAATTGGCATATTCCCTGAGATTTCTTTTTCTTTTAAAGAAAATTGGATTTTCCCATTGTTCTCTGAAGTAATTTCTAAGGTGTTTGTTTTTATGCTACTGAGGGCATTAAAATCAACTTTGAGGTTTTGACTTTTTGATTAATTTATCCTCAGAGATTTCTTGGACAAAGGCTCATGCTTAGCTCTGAGGACATAAAGATAAAAGCCGCTGCAGTCCGGCATTAAAGAAAGGCACGTAGACAGCAAATCACCCGTAGTATGCATACCTTAGGGAAGGAAGGAAGCTCTGAGGAACACCTGGGAGGAAATGGGCAGGTGAGACTTCAGGGGAAAGGTGAAGGATGCACAGGACTTTGCTTGGCGGAGAAACACAACGGAGGTCTTGGCTTGCAATGCTGTGGGAAAATACAAGGCATTTTTGGAGAAACGTGTTTATTTGCTTGGTGAGACTAGAGCATGGGTGCACCGTGGGGAGAAAACGGTGGGGTGAGATCAGGTAGTGAACAATCTGGAATGCCACCCAGAGGGACTGAGCGCTTCACTGAAGACGCCAGCCAAGGAATTGAGGTAAGGGAGTGATGTGATCATTCCTTGTGTTGTAGAAAAGTTGCTGGAAGCCCTGAAGGATGGACCAGAAAAGACAAGAGGGACAGACAGTGGAAGAGTTAAGAAGAATCCCTAAGAGTTGGTTTAATGTGAGAGTGAGGGAAGCCAGAAGCCTGACCCCTGGGGGAGATTGTATCATGAAGTGGAGGGACCCTAGAGGAACCTGTTTGTAGGAGCACCCGTTTATTTTAAACAATTTCCTGCAGAGTGAGGAGAGATAGGCAGTACATTGTTAAAGATGAAGAGTTAGGACCTTCAGGGAAGGAAATGAGAACTTTAGATCAGGGATCGGAGCCTTTTTTCTGCCAAGAGCCACATGGAGATGTAAAGTATCATTCGCAGGCCATACTGGTCAAAGGTTGAAGTAACTCACCCCGAATGTGGTGACATCGCTGGAGAAACACAGGGGTTTTCCTTTAAGAGAGTCTCAGAAACCCACGGAGGCAGAGCGACCCCGCTCTGTAATGTCGCTGTGGGTCGGCATCGACTGCAGGGCAGCAAGTGTAGTTTGGGTTTCATGTGATGGCTAGAACTGCTTCGCTTGGTGAAGCGTGTGGTGTTAGCTGGAAGTGATGATTTGGGGGGCTGCTAACTGCAAGGGAAGCAGTTCCAACCCAGCTGCTCCTCGGCTGAAGGATGGGGCTTTCTACTCCTGTAACGAGTGACAGGTCACTCTGAGCCAGCAGTGATTTGACGGCAGAGAGTTTGGTTAGTTTTTTGTCCTGCTGTGCTCTCTCTGTCAGTGGCTAGTGAAAGAGACCCGTCAGAAGAAAAGACGCCGGGGCCAGGCAGCTCCCTTACCTTCAGTACGAGATGAAGAGGGGCCCGAGGTAGGAGGCCAGGGTGTCGTGCAAACCAGAAGTCAGGTTCTTCCAGGAGAAACTGGTAGGTGCCGCAGAGAGGACCGGCAGGACGAAGGGTCTGGTCGTTGGAGGTGACAGTGGCCTTTGGGAGAGCAGTGTTTGTAAAGGGTGCGGTGCAGTGTGGATCGCTGTTGCAGGCAGTTCTGTGGGGAGGCCTGTGCAGCTGCCCGGGAGGTTGTTGAAGGAAGGGAAGGACAGGCACACACAGCCGGGGCCTCTGCTTTCGCTGCAGCTGAAGAATAAGTTCTCTGGCCTTCTTATCCATGCACGGGGAGACTCTCAAGGCTGGCAGGAGTATGTTTCAGGTTTCCTGCATTGCTATTTTTGTCTTGGTTAATTTCTATAGACTTAGGATCTCTGCAAGAGGATACTCAGACCTACAGGAAAAGTAGCTTCTCGGCGATGTTATTCATAAGCCTTGCTGCAGTTGCCAGATTGTTGGCAGACAGTCCCGGCCAGCCTTTCGTGAAAGCCCCCTTTTCAGGCATGTTTGTGAGGCATTTTGAGGTCTGATGGGATTTGAGGTTTGGACATGATGTTTGTCCTGAATGAGATCACTATTTTAGGCTTGGTGATTACCTAATTTACTGAGGGAGGGGCACTGCCCACAGAAAGCCATCCTCAGAGAGGAAAATGCCCTCTCCATTCACTGGGTCTTTGTAAAGTGAACCAAAAGTGCTTTCTTCCCTTCTAGCCACTCACAGTAGCTGCCACCTGGGATCACTGAGGTTTCTGTGGATCTCGGTCGTCTTCTGGGGAGGGGGTGCATTTGAAGTAAGAAACGGAATCTGGGAGTGCCCCTCTATTCTTTATTATCCCCTAAGCTGCCACTCCTCCTAACTGCTTTTGTCTCCCACCTTTCAGTGGGTAGGAGCCAAGCAGCATGAATTGCAAGTGAACTCAATGCAGCTGCTGTACTACCAGGCGCCGATGTCGTCCGCCATGCTGTTGGTGGCTGTGCCCTTCTTTGAGCCAGTGTTTGGACAAGGAGGAATATTTGGCCCCTGGTCAATTTCTGCTTTGGTAAGTTCACAGGTTTTCTTTTCATGTGTGTCTTAGAAATGGCATCATTGTGCTGTTCCTAGGGCAATATTTCCTTTGCAGAACTCCATCTCATATTTATTCACATTAAATCTTCTTAGTTATGTTGGAAGGAAGGCAAGATAGGGATTTTTTTTTTTTTAATGAAGAAAATTAAGTCACAGCGTGATTTGGAAATTTTCCCAGAGTCAAACAGCTAGTCAGTGGCAAAACCAAGACTAGACTTCAAATCTGCCCTGGCAGCATAGTAGTTATGTGTTGGGCTGCCATTTATAAGGTCAGCAGTTCAAAACCACCAGCTTCTCTGAGGGAGAGAGATGGGGCTTTCTACTCCTCTAAAGAGTGGCAGTCCGGCAAACTCACAGGGACAGTTGGACCCTGTCCTGTGGAGTCGCTTTGAGTCGGAACCAGTGAGTTTAGTTTCATGCATGTTCTTGGTTGTCTTGTTATTGTCGTAACCACACTAAGCTATCCCTTGACTAATTTGGAGATTTTGTTTTCCCTCTTGCCTTCTCTCTTCACGGTGAAATAAAGCTTTCCTGCTATTGCTTTAACACAACCACCAGGTGTCCGTTGTCTAGATTCCGAACACATAGGAGCCCACGGAGAAACATAAACACAGTCAGGGCCTCCGCCTGGAGTCTCACCACCTTTTCCCCTCTGGAGACACTCCTGTCGTAGATCTCCTGTTCACATGCACACGTGCGTGTCATGCACACTCATGTATGTGTGTGGGCGTCGTTTTCTATGCATGGAATCATATCAGCATACTCCTTTAACCTTGGATTCGTCCTCTGCCGGCCCTCCTACCCATAGACACCTCCACCTCCCATGACGGTGTCCGTGGTCTCTGAAGGCAGGTTAGCATTCGAGAACTTGTGCTTCCATGTGTTTTTTTTTTATTTGTTTGTTTGTTTGTTTTTTGCTTCCATGTTTTTCTGCATGTCATTCATACTCATATGATGAACACACATAATAAAATTTCATTTACTTTGCAAAAGTGGGTTCATATTATATATCTTTTCTGAACTTTGCTGTCCTCATTTGACAGTACTTCATTAAAATCTTTCCAAATCTTTATTTTCTATGGAAAGGACTATTCTGTGGAATGGAGTAGTCCTTTTCTTTCCAGTTTAGTGTCAATTTTTCTTCCTTTTTTTTAGTATCAATTCTTGACCACTGTTTGCATTTCAGTAGACATTCTTATACATGTACCCCTGTGGGTAAATGCTTTTTGTTCTTTTTCCTAGGAAAATTCATTTCCAGATCAAAGGTGCAAGTGCTTTGGGAACATTTTACAGCAGAAAAGATGGCAGGAATATCCGTTTCCCATAACTTTACCCTTTTGAACTTAGGCAACAGGAATGCCATTTTGTTGATAGGGTTAACTTATTAAACAGCACCCTTTTCAGGTACTATTCTAAATACTTTGTAGGTGTCAATTTATTTAATCCTGATAACACCCCTATCAGGTAGACAGTATTGGATAAAGATGTCCTGGCCTGACCGTGGTTGAGCGCTTGGTTCTCGGCTGAAAGGTCTGGTTTGAGTCTACTAGCAGCGTTGCAGGAGCAAAGGTGATCTGCTCCCATGCACCTGGTAGCCGGGCAAACGCTCTGAGGCAGCTGCAGCCCCTCTTGTAGAGTTGCTCTGCGCAGGAACAGACACAGCGGCACACACCATTCCTGAGGAGGAGGAAACTGGGAGACAGTTACCCAACCAGCCCAAGCTCTCAGTACGAATACAGCGTGGCATTTGGAACCAGTATTCTGGCTCCAAAGTCCGTCTTTGTCTACAGACTGGTAGTTGTTTCAAACGCCCTGCAGAGCAGAGTAGAACTGCCTTCCAGTGCTTCCAAGGCGGCGGATCTTTATGGAAGCAGACTTGCCACTTCTTTCTCCTGCCGAACAACCGAGGGGTCACATTTCTGACCAGTTGGTTAGCAGCTGAGCACTTAACCGCGGCACCACCAGGGCTCCTTGATAGGCTTTGACACACACTTTCATTTCCTAAGGAATCATCGGACCATTGCTCAGATAACATTCCTTTTATTTTACAGCCCTCTGTCTTGGCACCCGGGTCTTCAAACCATTGCAGCTTGTGTGACTGTGCTGGGATGCGGTCGAGTCCCCTCTAGCTCATAGCGAGCCCACGTGACAGAGTTGAACTGCCCCCTGGGGTGTTCTTGGCTATAATCTTCCAACTCACAGGCACCCTCTAGGACAGAACAGAGCTGCTGAACAGGCTTGCTGAGATGCCGCGTCTCTACAGGGACAGACAGCCTCGGATTCCTCCCTCCGAGCAGCTGGTGGGTTGGAAATGCCAACCTTGCAGCCCATGCTGAACTCACCATGCCACCAGGGCTCTCTCATCGAGACATCCAAAGCCAAACCCCACACTCACTGCCATCAAGCCAGTCCAACTAAGGGCGGCCCTATAGGGCAGGGCGGAACTGCCCCGTGGGTTTCCCAGAGGTAACTTGACAAGAAGTGACAGCTCCATCCTTCTCCCACAGTGAAGGGGGGGCTCTCCACTGTTGACGTGGAGTTAGCAGCCCAGCACATAATCCATTACACCACCAGGGCTCCAGTTTTGTAATATTCTGTGAACCCTCGACAATTACGAATGACCTATTTTAGGTGTAATTATAGAGATGGATGTTCAAAGAGCAAGTATCTCTTAGTTAAATAGTTAATGGGCCTCACTGTTGTAAGACAAATGAGGCATTACTGCATTTACCTCAATAGGACCCTAACCCACCCTGTTCTGTCCCCGCATGTAACACTGTTCTAAGATGAAACTCACTGGGGACAGAGAGAATCTTCGAGTAAGAGGGTTTTGTTTGTTTGTTAGCCTGTCTCTGATTACCTAGTTAATGTTCTCATATTTTGCTTCAGGTGAACGTTGATAGAGCAGATTACATTTCCACTTGATTCATGCACAGATTCTGAGATGCGGGGTGGGTAGCCCCCTCCATGTGTCAACACTCCTCCTGCTTCCTTCCCACGCGCCTCATCTCTGCTTCTTTGTTCTCCTGTTGTTGATTAGTCGAAGGAGCACTGTTCTTTTTTTTAATTTTAAATAACAAAGTCACAGTTGTATTTGCTTTTCAACAAGTTTAAACCCTTGAGGGGTACAGCACCGCCCAGGTTCTGTGTTGCGTGGCCCTCGCAGGGAGGTGGCTTCGGAATCTGCCCAGTGTCTCCCTGGGCAAGAGCTACCTTTCCTCAGGTGACTCTGGTTTTGTTAGGTTTGCCGCCAGGAGTCAGGTGTTGACCTTTGCTTTGTCCACGTAAGCACACCTCTTGCCTAAAGAGAGCTCGGTTCCGTCTGGGGCGTAAATGCCTTCAGTTTTAAGATGAGCTGTGCCTGCACCCTCTGGTTGCAGAGACCCCACGTAACCAGCTACGAGGGTCTGCAGCCGTGCCTTGCAGGTATGTTTGCCGGTTCAGAAGAGCTTTTCCCAGCAGGCCTCCACAGGCCCCAAGGTGGCGGGAAAAGGAAAGTGCTGAGTCTATTCCCTGTGGGTAAAAACCAGCTGTTCCATGGCAGAGAGATGCTTTCCTCCTCCCATAGAGGGGAGCAGCCTCGGGGACCCCCAGGCAGTGCTGCCCTGCTCTGTGGAGGCAGCTCCTACTCCCATAAAGGGGAGCAGCCTCGGGGGCCCCCGGGCAGTACTGCCCTGCTCTGTATGGGCAACTTTCCTACTCCCATAACAGGGAGCAGCCTCGGGACCCCCGGGCAGTGCTGCCCTGCTCTGTAAGGGTGCCATGAGTCAGAATTGCACTCAGTGGCCATGCGTTTGGTTTGGTTTGGTTTTATAGACCCATCTATGGAGCCTACATATCTTAATAATTCAAATCACATTCAGTATTTTATCTAGATTCTCTTGAGAGGAAATACTGTTAAAGCTTTCTAAACTGCGGAGTAGATTTGAACAGCACCTTGTGTGACTGTGTGTGTACAGAGGTGCAGCCCCTCCCCTTGCCCTCAGCCAGTGGGGTGACCACTGCCCCATGAACATGCTTTGTGCTTGGGTTCACCCACGCTGTGGCCCACAAGTTACCCTCTTTTTAAAAATCGATTCAGTCTTTTGAAATTCAGGGATTTTCCTCTTTCTCCTAGCCCCTAACACCATCTTCTATCTAGGGATTTGCATAAATCCGTTCCATCGTTTGGCTGTAATAGCGTCGCATTCTGTTTTCACTTTCTTTTATTGCCTAAGCTGTAGAATCACAACGTGAGCTCAGAGCACAGACTCCAGAACCAGGTTTTCTTGGGTTTAACTATCACTCGTTAGCTGTGTGATCTTGGGCAAGTGACCTTACCTCTCTGTGCTGTTTTCTCATCTCTCCAAAGGAAATGGCAGCATTTAATTATCTCAGGGGTGTGTGGGAGAGGTAACGAAGGGGAGAACTTAGAACAGTTCTTGGTGGGGTGAGTGCTATGGAAGCTCGTGCGGTCCTCTCACGATGCTTCTCTCAGAGCGGTTGGGCGCTTACCTTGTACAGACTGTGTTTCTCACAAAGTCTGGCTCCGTTTTCAGACAGTCAGTGGACTTACTGATTTTATTTAAATAAAACACAGATAGGAGCAATTCATTGGAAAACAGTCTAGATGACTATGGATCAAGGTGTTACCAGTGCTTGGTCGTCTGGAGTATAAGTCTCAGACATGTTTTTGCTTGCCTGTATTTTCCGATCTTCTTAAGTGTGTGTGTACTGTTTTTATGGTAAATGATGGAAATGAAATTTTCATTCCAAGGTGGGGTATTACTGCAGAGTTCTCCCTTGACCCTTGTGGACAGAATTACATCCCTGATACTGCTCATTGTGCTCTTTCACCCTCATTTTTGGCTCCCTCCCAAATCCCTCCCACCCCCACCCCTCGTTCTTAATTGTTGAAACCTTGAGTCTTACAATGCCTCGTGAAATGTGTTTTTACTCGACGGTGGCCCTGGGTAAGTAATGGTTTTGCATGAATGGTTCTCCCGGTTTACTTGTAGGTCATGGTGCTGCTGTCTGGAGTCATAGCTTTCATGGTGAACTTGTCGATTTACTGGATCATCGGAAACACTTCCCCAGTCACGTATCCTTTCCAAAATGTCCATCATTGCTTACCAGTGGGTAGTCTGACCCGAACTGAAGAGAGGGGGTAGTTTAGTGTCTTCTGTCCCTTCACATAGCCCTTTGCCTCTCCACGTTAATGTCACGTTGATGAACAGTTATAGAAATGTGAACTGAGCAAATGGATTAGGCTTTACACCACCAATGTTTTTTGTTTTCAATGTTCTTCGATAATAAACCATGTCTGTTTTTTATGAAAATTAACACGGAGCAACATTCCTTGCAGATGGAAAGTCAAAAACCAAACCCTGCCACTGGGTTGGTTGTGATTCATAGCGAACTCAAAGGACAGGGCAGAACTGCCTCCGCGGGAGAGACTGGCTACACGGGGATACAGAGCCTCGTCTTTTTCCCTTGGTGCGGCTGGTGGTTTCTAACTGCTGAACTTGTGGTTAACAGCCCAGTGCCTCACCACTAAGCGACCAGAGCTTTTGACATAGTAGGTAGGGTCAAGAGATTGTTTGAATGAATGAATAATGGGGGTAGGAGGGTGGAGGCTTGGAGTCCAAATTGCACAACATATTTTTCAAACCATTGGCAATCTGACTTTGGAGTAGGATTGTGTACTTATTTGGAGATGGATTGTGCCTGTTATTTTTAAGCGAATAAATATTCAGATGTCAGTGCATAAGCAGATATTAAAGACGCAGCAACAATTGGTAGTCATTTTTCTTTTTAAACCAACACTCAATGTTAATCTGTGCCTGATAATGTTTGAAGCACATTGTACATTTTAGATAATTTATTTCTCAACCTCTCTGTGTAGTGAAGTCTATCCTTCTGTTTAGAGAGGAAAGAAGGCACAAATTAAACTCACTGAAGGTCACGCAGTTGAGAAGGGCAGCTTCCTTATTTAAGTCCAGGCCTTCTACATGCAGAACTTGCACAGCACAAGGCATGCCCTAATGAAGAACCCAATCATGTATTCATTCATTCATTCAGCGGATGTTTGTTCAGTAGGCCACCAGCTCAGTGGTTCCAGCCCCCCCAGCTGCTCCACTAGAGAAAGATGAAGCTGTCCTCCCCCACAGTGATTTACACTCGCGGAAACCCTCTGTCGGGGCACCGTGAGTTTGAATCAACTCTACAACAGTGGGCTTATAAGCCATTCCTTGCTTTAATGTGTATTTATTGACCATCTGCTATGTATATGTCAGACCCTGTAGATACAGTGAGAATCAAAAGCACAGATGAGAATCCTGGTAAGAAAGACTCCACATTGGGGGAAGGGGTACAGTATAAAAAATGTTACACAGTGATCAGCGCTAAGGAAAACGAGTTGGAGCTGGAAGGAGACAATGTTGGGAATGTGGTGACGGTGTCCCTGCAAAGGTGACTTAGGCAGGAATATCTGAAGGAACTGAGTTGCTGCCTGCATGTGGGAGGCCCTGGTGAGGCAGCATTTACCCAACGAGAAATTTGAGACGGTGGTAAGGGATAGGAGAGAAGGGGGGGATTATTTACATACAAAAGGGGGCTTCTGAACGTTTGTGGGAAAATATCTTTTGAAGCCCCATTGTATCTTTTGTACTCCGAGTTCTCAGTGTAGCTCCCAACCTTTTATTGTAGCCCGCTTTCCAGACTGGGACAGTAGAGGCGATCTCGGTCACCGGTCCATTGCTCCAACCTATTTGAAGAAACCAGACTTGCCCTTGGGGAGGGCTGAGACTCTCTACTCCCAGAAAGATGTACAGCCTCCGAAACCCATGGGGGCAGCTCTACGCTGACCAAACGGGGCTCTGTGGGTTGTAGTCGACTCAGTGGCAGTGCGTTTGGAGTGATTGGGGCTTGCCCTACGCTTCATTGTTGGCAATATGCCTCGTGCCCTCTCTCCAGCCCCGGGAGCTTTTGCCATGTGTGGGAGGGTGGGTGTAGAGGGACATGGGGGGCGGAGAGGAGGAGGCCAGAAGGGCAGTGGTCGGTGGGGAGGGTAGAATAGAGCATCTGCTTGTGGTTCCTTTCTGTCCTTATCTGGAATGCTCAGGTATAACATGTTTGGACACTTCAAGTTCTGCATCACTTTATTTGGAGGCTACGTCTTATTTAAGGATCCATTGTCAGTTAACCAGGGTCTCGGGATTCTTTGTACGTTATTTGGCATTCTCGCCTATACCTATTTTAAACTCAGTGAGCAGGACGGAAGTAAGAGTAAACTGGCACAGCGTCCATAACTGGGTATTTGTGAAGAAAAGCAAGCTGCCTCAAGAAGATCAGGGAGAAAATGTCCAATGTGCAAATTACTTTCAAAGAAGAAAAATTATAATTCCGTAATTATAGTTTCATGAATCATGGTTTGTAAGAAATAATGCAAAGGGAATTTTATTCATAAATGTGAATTTTCTTAAGACCTTTTAAAATAAGTTCCCATGCAAACATGGGATGTCTGTTCAACGATAATGGTATTAAGTATGAATTATATAAGAGGGTTTGGTTAGATCAGGTGGAGTACATGAAAATTCAGTCTATAGTGATGACGAAAGAATTAGTATTACTGTATGACAGGTATTCGGATTCTTTTGAGGAAAGACCTCTGGCCCCTCGCACTAGTAGATGGCTTCTCGTTTCTTGATTCTACCCACAGTGTTCAAATCACATCTTACATCCCCCACATCCTTTTCATTGGCTTAGTTTTACTTCCTGATTGGTGTGGAAAGCAAAGTTTAGTAAGGGGAGAGAGTAACCCAAAAGACAAAATCATATCAAAAAAGTGAAAATTTCTAGTAGAACACTAATATAAGAGAAAACACATAACCAAAAACAAAACCGAAGCGAGTTTCTGTAGTCGCCAGCCTAGGCTCATCGACAAACAAGGAAGGCAACACAGCTTCCTGATAGCAGCCACTCGGTGGCCCTTTCTGGCCTTCACTCCCCAGAGCTGGCTCTCCACAACTTAGGACTCTCCTTCCAGCCAGCACCAGCCTCTGCTGGCTCTCACTGCCCACAGCGGTTCCACCGCCCTAGAGAGACGTGCAGGACAAGCAGGGACTACCTCTGCTGGAGGTCACCCATTTACCAGGAGGGTAGAAAGGAAAGGATCATCTGGCAGGGTCTGGCTGAGGTCCCTTCAGGACGTGCCATGCCTGCAGAGACCTTCTGGCCACACTCGGAAGCCTGAAAGAGGGCCTTTCAGGATCCGCATCATTGGTGCCCAGTGCCTGTGCCTGACTGGGGCCCCAGCCCACTAGCATGAACCGGTCCGGATGGCGGAGTTCATCTTGCCTCCTCGCTCTCTGAGCTTGGCTGCCAGATGGGTCCTGTGGAGGCACACTCATTTACCTGTGATTAAATGTAGCCTGGCTGCTTCATAAGAGACCCTGGACTGCCGGCAAATCCCCAGACCTGTTTTCAGAAAGCAGAGAGGCCAAATCAAGTTCTGTGCCATACCGCAGGCATTTTCTTGTTGGGCTTTCTGGGAACTCTGGAGTCTCTGGGGGGACTTCAAAAGCAAAATAGTCTCATGTGAAAGTAGCTAAAAGAGAAGACAGTAGATGGAACTGAACAGGTTTCTTCTGATCCTAAGACCTGCTTCCCAGCCCCTCTCAGCATTTCACATGGGTAATTTGTATTTTATGATTTATGTTGAACATATGCAGAACACTCAAAGCAGGCATTTATTTAAACAGGCAAAGGCCTTCTGTAGTTCCTATTGGAAATGTCTTAGCACCTTCTCCCCGCCCCCATCCCTCCCCCCCTCCCCACCTTTGCGGCTGAAATGGACCTTTCTTTGGAATTTGGCTTTGGAGTGGATTGTGCTCCACCTTTCCAATGCGCAATTCAGAGCAAATGTGCGACCCAGACACCAAGCAGGAACTTGGTGAAAAGATGAGGAGAAATTTTAAAGAGAAATCATCAAGAAGCAACTTAGTCCCATGAGTTTTATTGTTGTTTTACAGGAAACTACTTAAGGCAGCTTTTAATAATGAAATCTGGCACTTGGAGCAAGAAAACAAAAAGCCAATAAATACTAACATCCATTAGTCTATACTGATAGGGACATTTTAATAAGTACATCAGGTGATGAGAAAGGAAAGCCATTCCTTACAGTGCAATTCCAGTGCATGACTACAGAGCGAGTGCTCAAAGCAGGAAAGCACCATTTGTTAACGACCGCATTACTGGCCAGTCAGTCCCACGAGTCTTTAAAGGACAATTTAAGAGAATCAGAGTCTGGCCGGACTACATGATTCCCATTGAAGGAAATAAAGTGCCACTTATTTAACTGCATGATGTATTCTGACCTTCCACCGGCTCGGCTTTTAAACATTAAAAATAGTTGGTAGTCCCTCACAGTGAATTGAGTCAGACAGCTGCTCCTGATGCACTTTGAGGAAAAGGCTCAAACAGGACAAAGAGCCACAGGTATAAAATAGTCCCCTTAGACTTGCTTTCTGGCCCAGTGGACGTGAAAAGCCACAGTGAACATCTATTTCATCGAAATGTACGTTTCTGAAAATCTGTTGTGTGTGTTTTTTCTGTTGTTTTTTTCTCTAAACAGCCTTTGGTCCATCTGAGTTTAAAAGACATATTTCACTGCGCTTTGAAATGCAATTTGTGCTGAGCCTCGGATGTTATGTTTGTCGAAGAAATAACTAAATGTGTGTTTAAATTAGCATCATTGTTTCCCCAAAACTGGAGCCACATATTTCAGCACAGTGAGGGTTATGTGACCTTTAGACCCCGAGAACAGCGGAGTTTGTGCCAGGATCCTAACTGACGATTAAACTCAGGGCCATATGGAAGGTTGTAACCAATGGCTGGTGTCAATAGGAATGCAGTCAGAAGGTTGGAGCTGGACGGTGGGGATCTTGGGTGATGAGTAAATATGCACTGCTAGATTTAGAGTCCACGAGCATCTTTTGTCCTGAAGACGATGGTCCCATGAGGAAGAATTCCTGGGAGGAATGAGTGCATCTGATTATCGGGACCAGCAGTAGACAACCCAGACTGGAGAGCTTTTGAAGAAGATGGACAATCCTTTTGTTACCAACGTTATTTTTTATCTTATGGTAAATGATTGAACTTCTGTTTGTACCCTTTACAAATAAAAAGAACATGATGTTTTTACTTTTGTCTTTCCTATCAGAGCCCAAGCAATATGGGCAGCACCTGTGAGTGCCATGTTGGCACTGGTCTGTCCAGCTCCCATATATGCAGAATCATATGCCAAATGCCCACCTCCTTATTAAAAGTAACAGAGAAATCGTGTGCTGTGTGCTGGTGCAAGCTTTCTTCTCTTGCATTTTTAAACCAGTTATGTCATTTAAAAAAATCAGCAGCAACTTAGTAGCCCTGGTGGCATAGTGGTTACGAGTTGGGCTGCTAACTGCAAGGCCAGCAGTTCAAAACCACCAGCAGCTCTGCAGAAGAAAGAAGGGGCTTTGTACTCCTGTAAAGAGTAGAGACTGCTATGGAGTGACAGTGCTACTCTGTCATATAGGGTCCTGTGCATTGGCATTGGCTCTATGGCAGCGAGGGAACGAACATGCAGAATGCCTAAAGATGAATTCTATTCAAAGTAATGGAGACTAGGTTTGCTAGATACGTTCTGGTTTGCATTCCTGTTCCCAAACTTAAAATGGCTCTTCCCTCCTAATCTGAAGGGATTCCAGCATATGGTGGTTAGATAATCCAAACCTGTGGGGAGAAGTCAGACACTTGCTGCCAGACTGCTGTCTCATCCCACAGCAGGGCTGGGCCTGCTCCCTGCTGCTGGGGACAATGGCCTACTTCTCTCTGAACCTTTGGGACCATTAGCTTGGTTCCTCTAGGTGGGGTTTGCACCCTACTGATAATGTTCCTATGGGGACCCAGAGACCACCCCCTAGACCACCCTCTCATTGCTGTGTAACCTATAGTGCAGCCCCTTCCTGTGACGTATGTCTTTACCTGTAATTAGTGGGCTGGATTGTCCCCAAAAGGTATATAGGTGTGAGTCAGCAGAACTTCTCTCTCTGACTCTCTGACTCTGAGCTCCTTGCTGCTCACTCCCTGGTCACTCCCCTCTCCCTTGTTCCCTTTCCCTCCTTCCCTTCCCCCTCTCTCCACGTGGACCACCAAGCTGGGCTAAGGTGAGCAATGTTGCTATGTATCATGCCTGACTGTATTATTGTATTATCTCTCATGCTCTCGATGACTTTAATATAATGCTTATATATCTCAACCGTACAATTGTGCATTACTGAACCCAGAAGTAGTATTACTGAACCAGTGAGTTCAAGCAGCGGGTGGGGGCTGGCACCTCACCCCCCAGCGACAATTTTATTTAATACTACACAAACCCATTGCTGTCTGTCTAATTCTGACTCATAACAACCCTGTAGATAAGGGTAGAACTGCCCCATGAGGTTTCCAAGGTCAAATCTTGACAGAAGTAGATTGCCACCGTTTCTCATGGAGCAGCTGCTGGGTTCAAATCAATGGCTGAGCACTTAACCACTGCACAACTAGGGCTCCTTTGGTGGTTAGATATTGCTGTTAGTTACCATTGTGCTATCATAATTAGTTATCATAGTGCTGCTATGACCCACAGCACAAAATACTGCCCAGCCCCGCACCTTCCTCACAATTGTTTGAGCTCAGTTAACAGCGACTGCATCAATCCATTTCACTGAACATCTTTCTATATGTCACTGACCCGCTACCAAGCATGATGTCCCCTTTAAGGGACTATTCTTTCCTGATAACCAGTCCAAAGCCCATGAGATAGTAGAGTCTCACCCCTGCTTCTAAGCCTCTAAGCATTCTGGATATCCTTCAAAGACATTGGTTTATGGATACTGAGAAGTAACTTATACAAAGGGAGAGGTAAACTAGGCTACTGATAAGCCAGGAGGGTGCTGACGGATGACAATGTTGCTGAGAGGGCATCAGGTTTATTGTTGAACCGAGTGCTGTTGCAGTGCATGGTGGAGGTGACAATCAGACTAGAGTGAGTGAAGGAGCTGTGTGTATTGAAAGGAATGGAGAGGGAATCCAGGTGTATAGACAATTCTGCAGTTACCAGAGACTTGTTGGAGGCAAAGAATTCTATGGTGATGGCAATTTATTACAATTAATCTCTCCAAATATATTGTGTACCCCTGGAAGAAATGTGAATACTTTTGTAAGAGGAATCATCTTGCTTGAAAAAGACTCTTGTTTCGGGGGGATGGGGCACAAATTACTAAATTGCTCATGGAAAAAGCATATTGCTGATACATGGGTTGCTATTAATAAAATCTACAGTTACTTTTGCCAAGTGCTGGCATATTTTGAAAAAATTAAGTTTTACAAGCCCACTCAAGGGTGATCAGTTACGGATTTCTTGTTCCCATTTCTCCTAAAGATATAAACACCCACACGCAAAGTGGCACGGTTTGGTGCGTTTAGACGGGCACCAGGCTTGTGCCTTCCAATCCAGACTCAGCCATTCACGATTGTCTCAGCCTTGGGCCAGTCGCTTGGCTCTGAGCCCTCAGGTCCTTCACCTGCAAATGAAGGCTCCCCTCCCGGTGATTTCCAAGGGACTTTCCAGCTCCCAAATCCCCAGAGGCTGGTTCTTCAGGGTAAAATGTTGCAGTTTTCATTTGTTTATAGTAAGAGGAGATTAATTAGATTACTCAGATGTTGTTTTACCCTTATAAGAAATGTCTTGTTCGTGTGTATTTTTTTAGCGATTTCTGTTTTTTAGGGATCACTTGCAATACATTAAGTGTGGTTTGTTTTCATCTTTGTTATGTTAAAAGGCATGATTTCATTGGATTTATCAAAACTACTTAACATTTATGAAGTCAGCAGAAGTGGATTAACATCAGTTGAAGAAATTATGGCTATTTGGGGGGATATTTTTTCCTATGCTGTTTTAAATTTGGGAAACAGCATGTGCCAAACCAATAATGCACATTCTTCTACTAAACCGAAAAATATAAATGCTGCCTGTGCCACAGAAACAAGCATGTGTGCTGATTTAACCTGCCAGCATTACGTATGTTTAAAGATGGAATTGTTGAACGTACCCGTAAGGATTCTTTTTTCCTTTTGAAATCAAATGGTCTGTGTCAAACAGATGTCTTCATTTTCATTTTCCTGTTTGTCTATGCTCTCCAAAAAAAAGTCACTTTCCTCCTTTCTCAACTTAAAATTAGAGCTAAGCGTTTGGTGCAGGAGAGCACCAGATGGGCCTTCATCCAGATGGCAGGCGGGAGGCTCGCCATCAGTCTGTTTTAGGAGATCCAGGAATCCTGACTGCAAACTGTCAGCAGCTCAAAACCATCCATCACCCCACAGGAGAAAGACGAGGCTTTCTACTCGGTAAAGAGGTACAGTCTTGGAGACATCGACGCTGTCTCGCAACCTCAACACCGTGGAAACTACTGAGGCAGACTCCTGGAAGGCTGCAGCTTCCCTGTGACTCACAATAGGCTGGAGGGCAGTTGGTTAGTCAGAATTGAGTCCACAGCAGTGGGTTTGCTTACTGAGATTAACAAAACAGACTTGCTACTGGAGTAAACAGACTGTAGGCCTTTCTCTGTCTGCAGCTTAGAAGCAAGACTCTTCTTGGGCAGAAGGTCTTGGAGAAGTATGGAGTGATTTGTTGAATCAGAATGATCTATAGAATTTAACAGAAAAACGGGTGGTGAGTTGGGCAGAATGCTGTGAAAACATTCCGTTGCGTTTCCTACACAAACACCCATCCTGTACACTTCAACTCTAGAGACTGTGGTGGTTAGGGTCATCAAGGCAGTGCCAACTCACAGCGACCCAAGTACAACAGAACACCCCTCGGCCCTGCGCCAGCGCCCAGATTTTCCTGTGCTTGAGTCCATCGGTGCAGCCACTTGGTCAACCCATCTTGTCGCGGGTCTTTGTTTTCACTGCCCCTCTACTTTATCAACATGATGTTCTTTTCCCAGGGACTAGTCTCTCCCGACAACGCGTCCAAAGTATGTCTTGCCATCCTCGCTTCCAAGGAGCATGCTGGCTGTACTTCGTCCACAGAGGATGTGTTGGTTCTTCTGGACATCCGTGGGACTGTCCGTGTTCGTCACCAGCGCCGTCATTCATGTGCATCACTTCTCCAGTCTTCCTGATTCAGTGTCCAACTTTCACGTGCAGCTGAGACCACTGAAGATACCATGGCTTAGGTCAAGTGCATCTTAGCATCAAAGTAACCTGCTTCCTTTTCAATGCTTTAGAGAGGTCTTGTGCAGCAGATTTACCCGGTGCAATTCTAGACACTAGAACACTAACGTCTCTTTAAACCAATCTCATACTGGTGGTCACGCAACACGTGACCTGGCCCTCTGCTGAGGGTTTATGGAGGTTTTTGCTTTTCTGTTGTAAGTGGGGGGATGATAAAGACTGCCTCTTCCCGTCATCTGGCTCCCTCCAATATCTCCAAGATGCCTCGAATTATGCTAGACACCTGGAAGACTAAAAGAGAGGGCCGAGAGCCTGAAAAGAACCTGCGGAGCTACTGAAACAACAGAGCAGTTGCACCCTCCACGCTACTTCTCATTGGTGAAAAGTAAACCCCTGTTTGAATCTCCTTTAACTCGTATTCGCAGCTGAAAACCGGCCAATGAACATTTCGCAATCAAAGTGGGGGTACAGGGACAATAATGGATGACCGGCTCTGTCTACTGGACTTGAAAACTCAGAAAGCAACATATAAATTTAGCTTGCTATGAACAAAAATACATTAGTGGCTAGCCTGGCTCCAGACCGCCGTCCTACGTAGAGACTCCCAAACTGAGGGAGGGGAGGAGGGACATTCTGCAACGTGCTCGGCGTGCAGGTGGGCTGTCCTCCAGGTTGTAGTTTGGTGTTTGTGGACTTGCTTTCGTTTTCTTCAGCTTCAACCTGAGCAGGTGATGAGCACCTGGGGGTCTGTTGCACGGTTGCTCCCGCCCTGTTTGCCCTGCTGCTCCGGAGCTGCTCCGTCCTCTCTGCCCACAGATGTCGGCGATGTGCTTCCTGTATTCCATCTGGTGAGGTCCAGGTGTGCAGTTGTCATTTATGTTGTTGAAAGATGCCATGAAGAAGTTGTTGGTCTTGCAAAATTCTTATCATCAAGGTCATATTTT